AGAAAAAAAAAAAAAAAAAAGACATGTAACCAGACAATTATTCAGCCTGCAGCCAACAGAATCTCTTATCCCTCCCATCAGAAAAATTGGATTCTTGAAAACGGAAAATAGTTCGTAAGTTTTCAAATTTGATGACCAAAATAAATATATTCTTCTTTTACAAAGTAAAAGCTCCTGGTAGAAAAAAATATCAGCTATACAAACTCATTGCCAGCAACAGCTCTCGCTACCGTGAGGAGTATTCATAGAAACTCACCAAGGTTTAGACCAAATACAAAACAAACTCGTTCATTTCCTAGACTTACAAATCACTGCACTTTGTAAGACAAACAAATTTCAACTAATTTTTAAAGAGAACGGTGTTCCCCTGTAAACAAATCAAACCTCGACCAGTTTTTGTGTAAACCAACTGTAACTATGGAAGCAAAGAGCAGCAGAAAATAGCTCAACTATGTAGGTACTTGTGTTGAACAACACGGATGAACATTGGAAACGAATCCACCGGATAATCCAAAGAATATATATATGAATATACAAACTGAAAGAAGAGGCTCAAGAAACTATCTCCACCAATCGGGTATTTTCAGCCTCCTACTTCGATGTACAGCAAGCTTAACCGCAGGTACCTTCTGCTTCACCTGTCTCCAAATCATATTGACTGCATCTTCATCCATTGGGGGATATTGGAACTCAAAGTGGTGAGAAATGCTTCTAATTTTAGACCACATTTCAATCCATTTTTCTTTGGTAACGGCCCTGAGCTCATTTATCAAGTGGCCAGGTTTAAGTGCCTCGCTAACTGAGAAGAAAATGGAGAATTCCTTGTAGTCTATCTCACTTTCAAAAGGCAGCTCGATTCTGTCACTCACAATAACAGGAACACAGTGGCTGACAATAGCATCAAATAGACGGCAAGAAGATGGAGTGTCACCCGCAGGATGGAGACAAAACTTCGATGAACGCATTTGTTCGGTAGACTAGAATAACCCAAAGAAAAATGAGGTGTGAGATGGAAAAGTCAGTTCCACATTATGTGAAGGCTGAAAAACACCCAGAAAGGACCCTTAACAAAAACAATATAAATGATTTCTCAATTTTGTTTCACTGTCACAGGCACACAAGGTACCAAAAAGGAAAGGCAGGGATCATAAAGATGCAATTGTGCAAAAAAATAGTGATAAATAGCAATTAAGTTAGAAATTCTTTTGGTTCAAGCTTGAACAACTTTATTATCGGCATAAATTTTAAATTAAAAAGTGCACCTTCGCATCTTTGACTAGTATCTCGATGGCCTATCACAAACTACAATCGTAAACAATAACAACTCAGTGGGACTTACAGCCTTGAAGCCTTCTTCTGACGCATAAGCTTCCTCGTATATGACATCTTTTGTTCCATTTAGCATCTTATGCAGCTGAGCACGAATTATTCCTTCCTGCCACATTTAGATTGTCAAAACAAGTGCTTCACTTAACTAAAAGCTTAAAAGAGCATGATGGAAGTCTTTTCATTAGCTTACGTCTTTCCTCTTAGTTCTTCCACGAAAAAAGAGAAGTGTTTCACGAGATTTGAATGGATCATCATGGTCATCACTAAGATATGATTCTACCATGTGTGGGTAGGGAGCTACAACATCCTTTGCCAGACTAGAAATTTTCATTATGCGACCAAAATCCGCAACAATGAATATGGAAGCATTAACTTTATCCCGATAATGTCTGAAAGCATTGGGATGATGCACCGGAATCACATGGTCTCGCCCATCAGACCTTCTCCAGTAATCAGATGCTCTTAAGATATTTACCATCTCGAGCTACATTTACAAGCAATGATTATCAGATTTCCAGAAGACAAACTGATCAATATTTCTAATAGTGAGAACAGTTTAATAACCCTAAAATCCAAATCCAGGTTGATGATCAAATCAAATACAGAAAGGAATTTTGCTGAAGCAAGGTGATGTAAAATACTACTTGTAGCGAGTACTTTGAATATTTTCAGCATATCATGGAGCAACCCAATAACTTTAAGTCCAATTCCAGTATACTACTTCATTGCAAGAACTGCAGCAGAATAGATTGTATATGCAGTACATCATCAAATCTAGAAGAGAGGTTTCAGAAAAAAGGATGCCAAATCAGTCATTCAGTTAATGTGAATAAGCTGGGCATGCAATCAACTTTTCTTCTTATTCTCTGAACAACAGAAAGAAGTAAATCTGGTATCATTTATGGGATGGCAGTAAATGGCAGCAAGCCAAATTCCCGCTATAGCGGCCTCCATGGTGGCCTACGGCACCGCAATTGCTGCCATCCTTCACAAACTTAGCATCACAGTGTGGCAATAATCCGCCATGGCCGACATTTGGGTACAGTGTAACTCGTTAAAAATAATGAGAATCCAATAAAAAATCATGGCAAACACAAAACAATATTTTGTATCTGTAACACTAAATTAGTACTTGCCAAGCACTGGGGCCTGGATACCTAGACAACTGCGACAGCTAATCGGACGCATAGTTTAAAGACAGAAAGCAGAAGATAATACTTATCACTCTACTTTGTAATTCGTGTATCTGCTGATTCAAGTTTTTCAAGTATGAATGTACTTATGTAAAGGATCTGACGGCATAGGATTCACCATATCAACAACTTAATCCCCTGGATTTAAAATCCATACTGAAAATGCAAATAAGAGACCAGATGGAAGGAAATACATATATTTCATCATGCGAATCCAACATTCTTGAATTACAATCTAGCGATTATGTATATAGTAGAAGAGCAAAGTAGTGAACCATTCAATGAAGAAACATTAGCCCATCTACAGACACCTAAGTAAGGAAAAATGCAAAACTTATATATATATAAATAAAATAAATAAAAAATCAAATCAACTCCATGATATGAAAAAACATATTTGTCCTTCCCATAATCCCATTGCCTAATCGCACAATGGGACATGACTTGATCAGATTTTAATCCACAAATGACATACCAAAAGTCTCATTATATTTTAAAACTTGAAAGCAACTCCTGAAATACATCTTTATTTATTATTCTCAGAAGGAACTAGGAAAACACAGAATTGGCCTTCATAAGTTGTAGGCAATAAGCCCTTTAGACTCTCTTTTTTTTCTAAGCACCATTTGAACAATTAAAAGTACTAAAGAATATTGCAATTGTCGGTGAGTGCCTAATATTCCAGGTCCAAAAATCAAGCACCAGACCATAGGTCTTAATCAATTTAATAACAAATGATAAATATTGGGAGCCATTCAGTGACATTTGGAGGAGCTACTCCAACGTGAACCACCATTGACATAAATTTGACAAAATGTCCTTTATTATTTATTAATATGATGAATTTCAAGAGATATGAAGAATTGTTAGGACATCAATGTCAGTTGAGTCTACAGTTGAATGGATCAAACCATTCTAAACAAAATGTTTCTGTTGATTTGTTAGAATTTCAGATACACTAGAACAGCAACTATTAAAAATCAACTTTTAAATACGATCAAATTTCAGAACTGTACCAGATGCTGCAACAGTAATCTCAAATCCAGCACTAACTTATCCCAAAGTCAAATGTAATCACCTCAGAAACAAATTCGACAACGCCAATTAAAAGAAAAGCTGAAAAAAAAAAACAAACAAAAAGGAACGAAAGAAACCACTCAAGAAATAACTGAAATCGTACCTGCAACTTTTCATCTGCTGTATTCAAGTCCGCCATATTCCGAACGTAAACATTGAAACTAAGAGAGGAGAAAAAAGGCACGAAGAAGACATCAGCAGATTCCGGATCCACAACCCGAACTGCCTCCCTGGAAGAACCCGATCCATCGTTCCCCTCGCACAAAAGCGAAGCCATCATCCAGTACTCCACACTGTGCTGCTTCCTCAGCCCATCGCCCCACCTCCAGGCCGGAATATTGGCCGCCGCCACGGCAGTATCATTGGGGAAGCTCGGGTCCATCAACCCTACATTGAAACGCGGCGGCAGATCGTACATGTATACGCGGAGGGGCGGCGATCCGTCCTGGCAACGTACGGCGGAGGAGAGCTGAGGAATGAAGGAGAGGAACTGCGATCTGTAGTCGAGGGTCCCGGCGAGGAGCAAGGAGCCGACGAGTAGGGGAATGCATAGCGAAAAGCAAATGAGAGTCCTGTTTATCGACTTTGGCATTTAATTTTGGAGTGGAGTGTGTGCTGTATGTGCGTGAACGACTGAAAGAAAAAAAAGAGGGGTGAGAGAAGTGGGGGCAAATGGTGATGAGTGTAGAGTTGGATCCACGAATATGAGATGAGATGCGTTTGTTTTTTTTTGTTTTTTACCGCATTTTGTTGCGGGTTTTGACTTTTGAGTTTCATTATTTTTTTTTTAAATGATAGAAAATATTATAAACTGGACGCCAACAACAACTGAGATACACAGTCACACATAGTCTAGAAGAAAAGAAACAACATATTATGGTAGACTGAACAAAGCTCAGGACTCAAACAACTGCCAACAAACAAAAACAATGAACAAGATAGAACAAATGTCTAGTCACTGAATAAACCTAGCAACACTTAACCCCTCACCCCTCCTGTAACTCTTCAACTCTTCAAACTCTTTCCCGTCTCGGACAACCATCTACACAATAGCCATCAGACATCCTTACTCTTTCAAAATTCACAGATTGCGTGCTCTCCACAGCCACCATAATATATAGGTGGTTAGCTAGATTCAAGCCTCTGATACCATTGATTTGTCTAAGGTACAAACCTTCCACCACCAATTTTGGAATATGCTTTGGTCAACAACTAGGTCGTCCCATTGTAGAACTCCAACATATAGTTCTCTGGTTGCTGCTCTTTCCACGGCATATCTTTCTATCCGTCGACAAAGCAAGAAGGGTAATTGATCAAATTCGCGGGCGTTCTTATGAGGAAACACTTATGATACTCGAACTCATGCCCTCTATTATGAATTTCTGACCACATTCTCCATAGGGTCCTCTTATCTCTTCCTTCTCGGAACTCTTCGCTAAAGGCAGGCATCCATCCTTCCATTTGATCAAAGGCACCCGAGCCGCCAAAACATAGGATTTCTTTTGAAGAAATTCTTATCAGTCTTTTTTTCGACCCAAATCGGCCAGGTCGACCGATTCGATACATAAAAGAGGCTGTTAGAGCAGGGAGAGGAGACGACTGGCTATGAAAGAAAGAATAGGGCTTAGGTCGTGACGAAGATAAGAGTATGAACTGCCTAGCGAGTCCATCTTCCAAACCATTAAAGCTTTCTGCAATAGAAAAACACATGTTCTACAGTCTCAGCCTCTACATCACCGCTTTTGCATGTCATCAACTTCAACTCCTATAGCCTTCACATTCACTAGCACAAGGAGAGTTACATCGTAACACTTCCAAATCAAGTGTTTTAATTTACTCTTAACCTTTAATCGTCAGCTTATATTTCTAGCCTCTTCATCTTTCTTTGCCGAGCAACTACCTTTTGCTCTGTCCATATTATAATATACCGGCCCAAGCGCTAACTAACAGACCGGAATGGCGAGTCGAACTGACCCCACGACGACATCACCAAGTCGATACCCGCAAGTCGACTTCGAGACAGCTTACTGTCTTGCGTGAGTTTGAAGGCGAAGGTCGGTTTGACCAAAGTCGACAGTGTCAAAGTCGACTCTCATAAGCCGATCCTCAAAGTCGACTTCCACCCAGAAGATGAACAGGCGTAGCCTCTAAATATTCATATGATCTGTAATGCCCCGTTTAATTATTGAATATTTGGGAATTATTTATCATTATTATTATTTATATTTATTCGTTGTTATTATTATTGAATACTATAAATTATTAATTGTCAAATTGATTAAATGTCTAATATGATTTAATTGTCAAATTGAAATTAATTGCCTAAATGTCTAAATGTTATTATTTTAAATTATTAAATTGTGTATTTGTATTTTTACTAATATTATTATTATTTTAAAAAAAATCTTAATTATGTGTATTATATATATATATATATCCGTTTTATTTATTTGTGCGATTTAATTGAGCCCGAGAAAAACCGGATTAATGCCGCATAGTCGGGCCCGAGAGCCGAACCGTGTTATCGAGTTAGCCCGAACCCGCAAACCCGGCCCAAACCCGTGAGAGATGTGTGTGCGTGTGTCTTTTTGGGCAAGATATTAACCCTATTACACATGTATATATATACGTCTTTGCTCCTTTTGAGAGGAGAATTCTGAACCCTCCCCGCAGCTTCTCCCTATTTTTCTTCTCGCGATCGTTCCTAGAGCAGAGAAAGTTTTTCTCTCGTTAATCCTTCACCATCATCGCACTTCATCATCGCCATCATCTTCACCACTCGATCACCTCATCACCATACTTATCCCTCATCCCCTCATCATCACCGCAGCCATCACCCTACGCTCAATCTCTCATCTCCCTTCCTGCTGCTTATCATCCCCGACCAAGCAGCAAGACGTCGTGACCATCCCTTTCGACGAAGTCCAGCAAGCCGTCGTCTCCCTTCTCCCGCGAAGAACCAGTCACCTTCGTGCCCCCTCGTTGTGAACCACGCGCACCAGCAACGATCCGACGCCTTCCCCGCGACGTCACGATCACTTCCGGCAAGCAGCGACCCTTTCCTCTTCGCCGGCGATTGTCTCCACCTCCGTTCGTGATCGTCAGGTCGTGGACCACCAGCTGCAGTGTCCTCGACCGCCGCTCCGCCCGATGAGCACTCAGGCCGCCGCGTTGAGCTGCTGTCCCTCCCCTCGAGCCACCGTGCTTCCCGTCGGCCGTTCGTTCCATTTTCGATCGTGATTCCCGATAACGGTACAAGGCTCGAGCCGTCTCGTGTATGTTGTGTTATTGATTGTTGAAAGAGATCGTTGAATACCTGTGAATATGAATATGTGACTTTTGCATTCATAAGGATATATATGTGTGTTTGAAATTGCTAAAGGAAATAATGTTGTATGTGTAGACGAACTCATCCATTCGGTGAAATCGAATGAGACCTCGTCGAATTGTGATAGAGTCGCTGTGGGTTGGAACTCGTATTGTCCTTAGTCTTATGGCGAAGACTTCGGACGGATTCGTCGTAAAACGAGTCGGTTATGAATTGTTGAAATTGTCTAGTCGCTGTTTTGATATATAAATTATGATAAATTCTGTGATGCTCTTATATATTAATGTGAAATTTTATGTGCTCGGCCCTCTGCTGGAAGTACATGTTGTGTAAATATTTTAGATTAAAATAATAAGTTTAGCCATTTTTAATAATTGTTTGAAAATCTGAGCAGACTCTTATTAAATGCCTATTTAATTGAGTTGTGCTCCAAAAATTATGGAATTTGAATATGTTGTCTTGTCTTCCTGTGTTTTTTCTAGGTCGTTTAAAAGTTTTAGAAGTTTTGAACTTCGTTTGCTATATTTAAAAATTAATTGTTGTATTCTGCAGCTTCATAATTTAATTTTAATAAATTGAATTCTTGCTGGAAAATTCTGAAACTTTATTAAGATGCTTATTTTATGTACTTATTCGTGCTGTTAAAATATGATAATTTTTGGAGTTCATTTTGATTCAATTTTGATTAAAATTCGATAAACTACTGAATCTCGTTTGAATTTTTAAAAATAGCAGCAGTTAATGATAAGGGCTGAGATTTTTATATGTTGTTTATATTATGATTTAGTGTATTGTGTAAAATTATCAAGTCCTGAATCATTCATTAAGTTTGAGTATAAATTCATGGCTTGGTTTTGCTGATATCTTGTGTGAATTTTATAAAATAGTGTACTTGGGATTTGAAGCTGAAAATTTGTTTATTTGCTTAACTTTGGAAGGTGAAGTTTTGGTTAAATTTTCAGGGTTAAATTCGTATGGAAACCTGGTCAACTCATTTTTGTGATTTAAACTAGTATATTCGTATATATGGTTTTTAGAATAAAAATTGTAAACCGACTCGTCATTTATTTCATTAAGTGTTTGACTTCGTCAATGTTTATGTTTGGATTATGTGAACTCCCTTGTGTATTTGGTTGAGTCTAGATGTCAAGTCTAAGTGTTCCAACGTCCACAAGACTTCACAAACAACTTAGTTGAATCAAGTTCGACTAAGTATAATTGTGATTTCTGTTTAAGTCAAAGTAGATGTTGATTTTGGCATCTGGACTTAATGTCGGCGTTTGAAGAGCCGAGCTCGCAGCCTATACGTGCTTTCGTGATTATCTCCTATTCGCGACCAGGTGGGTTGTTATTCTAAAATCATCTATGCTTTAAATTATTTACATTTGATTACTTAGCGTAATTAATGCATGCGTGTGAACCATGTAACCCTCGTTGTGAGCTGTATGTCCTTCGAGCGGTTGTCCCCGTCGTTATGAGCTATATGTCCTTCGACGGTGCCTTTTTATAGGCAGTCTCCCTAGCCTAATGATAGGCAAGGCCGTTGTGAGCTGTATGTCCTTCGGTATTTTACTCCCATTGTTGTGAGTTGTATGTCCTTCAATGGCTAATGATAGGTGTGCACATTGAGTAAAAATGTTATGATTAGGAGATGTGATAATTGAATGTTTCGTGTTCATGCTGCAACCATGCCTGACTGTTATTGTATATAATTTATCGCATAGAGGTGAGCACTACTTTTTTTTCCAACTGTGCTCATCCCCACCTGAAATTAACATTTCAGGTTAAGCAAGGCAGGCACGACGGCAAGATGGAGAGTGGATAGTCATATTTGCATTATTTGCTTCCGCATTAATTTGAATAAGTTAACCCGAATTGATGACCTTGAGTTGTTTTTGGGTTATGAACATGATATTTTATTTCAGACCATGTCGTTTGAATTATGATGGATTTGAACGTATGATTTGGTTCGTATTATTGAACTATGATTGGATATTCACGTCGAATGTGTTATTTGGATATCATGTGAACTATCGGTTTTAGGACAATGAAGTCCATATGAAAAACCAGGTAATGAATTCCCGTGAGGTTTCAAATATGAATTGAAATCAAGATAATGCCCTAATGATATGAAATTTGAAAATGAATTTCGAAAATGTTAACTTACTTTTTGAATAAGCCATGGATTATTTTTTAAATCAAAGTGGGGCGTTACATGATCCCAAGTTGACCTCCCAGTGCTCGAGGTCGACTCCTCGTGCCTCGAGGCGCGAAACATACTGACGACTCAGTACATTTATAATATCTCTTGAAGTCTCCTATTCTAATGGATGGGAAGGAATCTTGTGATGACTCAGCAGTATGGGAGACGAATTGACAAGGGTAATTTAGACATTTGAGGTAGACTGACTGGAGCATTTCGTGTACTCTAAGTAAGTGATTACTCCTATATAAAGGAAGTGAGGTAACCCTA